CATTTTTATCTCATTTAACCATTTTACCCACCTTACTATTTTTTCATATTTTACTCTTGAAGAAATTCAAACACAGAAATATGTACATAGTAAAGTTGACACAGTGAGACTTTGTATCTGATCTCAACCTCTCCTCAATGTGTGCGCTTAAACAAGTTAATCAATCAGTCATTGTTTCCCAGTTTCTATTAAGGCTAGTGATAACATTAACTTCATTGGCTTATTTGGAAGATTAAGTGTATTAGTATGTAACATGCTTGGAAAATACCTGATACATAGTAAAAGCCCAATAAACTGAGAATGATTCTTATTGCTATTTTTTTTAAGTTAATCTTTTGCAAAAAATGACTTTAACATTCACTTATGAGACATTGTCCTAACCTTAATATGACCGCTAACTATCTCCACCATGGAGCCATTAACATTTCTCTTGTTCCCTGCTCTTGCAAGGGCACAATTACATTTGCCATTTTTAGAAATCTTCCAACATTTCTGGGTTTTTTTTCCTCTCTTCCAGGCTTCCTCTTAGAATGTTTTGGACCTCACTTGTATATAGCTGTTAGTGAACTCTGAACACTCAAATAATAATTCTTCTACAGGTTGCTCTATGTATGTCCTAGACTAAATCAGAAAATCCTATTTTATCTTTTTGTAGAATTTTATTTATTTTCATATTGTCATAGATTTTGGTCACTGGTTTATCTAATTTACATTAGATTTCACCTTACACAAGATGAGAAGTTCAGATACCATGCTAACTTTTCATAACTGATACATTTGCAGCATCTGGCAAAGTTCAAAGCATGCATTTGAGTCTCAAATTTAAAATAATTATGTCAAACTATGGAATTCATATTCTATATAACTTAATCTTACTTTTGTTCATCAACTACATTCTATTTGTACTACCATCTTTTCTCATGCCTGGGCTATTTTTCTACTGCTTACTTTACAATATGAAGTTTATGATCCTTGAACAGCAGTCAATATTTCTGTTATTTGAAACCTTAAATTTGTATATGTATATTATTTTGTGTGACTTAATGCTTACCAACCCTTATTCAGTGATTGAAGTCATGACTTTCTTATTTCTAAAACTTATTTGACAGCCTATACTTTATGTTTCTAAAAAATACTGCACTCAACCTATTAGATGCAATATGTAGATGCTATCTACCAAATTCTTCATAAAGAAATTGGTTCTTTACTTAATTATGGAGAAAATGTTTTAGCTCAGGTACAATGAGCCAAAGAACCTCTCCAACTCCTCCAATGTAATTATTTCTTGCCACCAACCAAGCAAAGTGGCACATCTGTGAACTAGATGAGAAAGCCAGAATTAGACTGCTTCCCAAAAGCCCAGCAAAATGGACTCCTCCTGACACTCACATTTTGTGCCCAAAAAAGCCTTCTGTAGGAACAGGAAATTTGAAACTACACCATGGGGATTCCCAATTGAATACTGTCATGTTCTTTTTCCCCATTTATGAAGAGGTGGAGACTGTTAGAAAGTGCTGTTATTTTCAGTTCCTTCTGGGGGAATGAAACATAGCTGAGTCTTTGGATTTGATATTTATACAAGCAACATGCTTGAGATATGTTGGTATAAAATAGTTCAAAGGAAAGATTCCCTGCCTGTTTTCTTACCCAATTAAACATAAGAAACTTAAATTTGAAAAGAATGATACACTGATTTCTTTAGATCTTTATAAATATACTAACTAGTTAGTAAGGCCTCAGTTGATCACTTAGTGTGAAACTAAGCACTCATGTACGATGTCTCACTATCATGCTTTTCCTTAATATTATATTTTACCACCAAATACTTATCATGCATATTGTTGTCTCCTCACACTGAAATTATAGGCAACATGTGTGTTGTTGAGACCTGATGGAGTTCTTATGAATTCTTAATTAACTTGGTGGTAGTTTATAAGAAAGGCTACTATAGTCACTTTAGTTTACCAACATCCAAAGGTATTAGGAAGATTTAGGAAATGGCCATGATAAGAACACGAGATACCTCAAGGGGCAAATTAAGAGGAAAAGGAGAGAGAATGAAGACACTGAAACTACCTTTTGTAAAATACAAAGAGTTATCAGAAATTCTTGCACATTTCATTTTTTCTTACTTCCTATACGATAAGGCCCAAACATCCTTACTAACAATAAAATCCCTTAAAAAACTGGCCCTTTGCTAGTTTTTCTAGTGAATTTGTTTCTTTACGCATAAAACTTCATTTATGGAAACAGAAACTGGCCCAAATTTGTTCCAGTGTTAGTTGTTTGCCTTCCTTTGTCTAGTTTATTGAGCTCTATTATGCTAAGGCATTCTAAGATCTAGATTGTAGATTCTAAGACCTATCTCAGCAATGTTACAACTAGCATGTCGAAATTTCAAGTTTGAAGCTGTTAGATAAAATATGGATAAAAGAGTACTTCTCGGCTATTTATTCTAATAGAATTTTCCTATATGTTTCAATTAACATTGTCTTATATCTTATTAAAAACTTGTTCATGCTGAAGACCTGGGACTATAGTTATTTAGATGGACATATATTTACTTAGTAAAAATTGGGTTTATTACCATAGATGCAAAGGAGAACAGATTTTGAATGGACTTCTAGCAATCTTTACCACAATCACCAGATTTTAATATACTATTTACTTACTTATTGAAAGGTGAATTAGCATATATTTTAGAGTTGACCTGAAGGAGAGTGTCATAGATCATCCTGGAAGCTCTCTTGGAGCCAACATGATGAATTTACCATTATTTTATCTTTTGCCCTTTTGATTTGTTTCTGGATCTCCAAGAAGTATACATATATATATATATTTTTTGAAGTATATATATATATATATATACATATATATATATATATATAAATATGTGTGTGTGAGTGTGTATTAGCACAGAAAGGACTATACATTTTTTTTAAATTTTTATTTATTTTTTATTGTGAAAATACTGTACAGAGAGGTTACAATTACATGGGCAAGATAATGAGTACATTTCTTATCAAGCATTGTAACCTCCTCCTTTGTTTCCCCTTCCCATCCCAAGACTATACATTTTTAAATGAATAAATGATCTACAATTATTATCAGTTAAGATTTGGAGGTTATAGGCAATAGAAGACTGATTTGAGTCTAATTAGTTTATCATTTTTTAAAATATTTAATTTTTTGATAAACACAGTAATTATAGATTTGCATGTAGCACAATGGTATATCTTAAGATATATGCATACATTATATAGAGACATGTATATATATATATATATATATATATATATATACATTTTATTCTTTATTAAAAGGCCACTGCTAGCTTCTGGAAATGACAAGATAGCTGGCGAATCAGGCTCAGAAACGGACAGGTATCCAATTATTTCTGTAATGATTTAGGCACAACTATTTTCACCCTGTCCTCGAATCAATCCACTCAACATTTAAAGCCCCAGGAGACGGCATGTAATGTGCCAAATGTGACTGAATCATCCGTCTCCCTTTGGATAGAGGAGGACAGAACACATTGTTTTTATACCCAAAGTGCATGCAACTGTAGAGAAGCAAAGAGTTAGGATGAAATCAGTGTGAAGGATGAAATCAGCAGGAGGAAACTGGGTTTTTCCACAGTAGGCTTCATTTCCTTTATAGCATGATACGCAGTTAATCTCAGGAGTACTTTTCTTTTCTTTTCCTTTTTTTATTCTTTTCTTTTCTCTTCTCTTTTCTCATCTTTCTTTCTTCTTTTTTTTGAAATTAAATAACAAACTATCACCTCATAAAGCTGATTTAAGCCATTACAAACAAATGAAATCGAAAGTATGACAACAAAAATCAAACAAATGAAAACAAAAACAAGCCAGCACTTGCTGTCACTGTTGTTGTTGAGTTTTTTTTCTTTGTTTTTCCCCCACTCCAAGAAGGACCAAGATAGGACAGTGAGAACTTTGTAATATTGAAGAACAGTAAAGAGGCCAAAGACTCATTGACCTTTGTTGGAATAATGCTTAGCTAATGATACATGTATAAGTAAAATTTTCAATGACACCATTCTAAAGGCTAAGTAATTCTATAAACCAAGCAAATCTTTCTAAGTACTGCATTTTCTAAAAAGATTATAGTGTCAGTCTAGTTGATTACTGTCACTGATAACAGGTGTAACCCTAATAGGTTTTACTTTTGAGCTTCACAGATTTGCCAGGGAATATAAGTCCATGAGAACTTGTGAATTTATTTTATAAAGTATGACTCCAATTTAAATGATGAAGCTATCAGTGTTAATTCTTCAGATATTTGGAATTTATTTAATTTGGCAAACTTACTGGAATTAAAGCATATTAAAATCTGAACTCATTCTCTTTATTTAATTGCCACAGAAAATTATAGAACCGTATGATGAAAGTATGTTCATTATGCACCATTCAAACACAGTAATGTAATTCTAGTGAACTGACAAATTGTTCAGGAAGTTAAAATGCTTGTTTAGATTCCATTGATAAGCTAGTTCTTGATTTATTATGTAATGTTTAAATATTTAAGAATAGATGGGTCCAGACTGATAAAAGTGTTCATTTTAGTTATTGGAAAGTAGACTTTAAATCCTTAGATATTAATTTACTTTTGTAAAGCTAGACTTTGTAAAAATGGTCTGCACATGTTGTACTCTTAATTACAGACATGATGTGGTATCAAGACTTGTAGTTAAAATGTCAAAAATCCAAAATTCTTTATACATAACATTTAATCTTGAGTTTTTCTCCCTGTGAAAGAATGCTAGTCTTTTGAACATCATGCTTTTCTTTCTACAGTGCTTAATACATTATTGAAACTACAAACATCTACAGAAGTTTAATGTGGACAGAGTTCATATTTTGAAAGCCTGCAATGTTTTATCATTAAACATGCAATGTGGAATCTTTGAAGCATAGAGTTCTGCCCTGAATGAAGAATCTCTCACCTGGGATGTAAGCAAACTTCTCATCTCCACCATGACGAACCAGGAAAAATGGGCCCACCTCAGCCCCTCTGAATTTTCCCAACTTCAGAAATATGCTGAGTGTAAGTACTATTGCTGGTAATACGAATTTACTTGGCTTTGTATTAAACAAAGTATCACTTACTAGGACATATTACAGATCTTATTCATAACGGAGACAGGTGCCATCAGGCTTTTGTGTTTACAAGTATTTCAGCTTGAGAGTAATTTTATGGTATGGAAAAGAGAAAAAGATCAATTAAATCAAACATCATCTCCTAAAAGACAAGAAACTAGAATACTAGATGAAAAAATTTAAGCTTGGAAAACACTCTATCTCTAATAAGAATAAGGAAAAAAATCTGATGAACTAGCAAAATGGAATTTATTGAAATGAAGGAAAAAAGAACTTAAACACAGAAAATAAAAGCCTATATTATGCATTATTAAATATAATATGACTCATAGGTATCAGGTAGAAAGAGAAAGTCACTGTTTTTCTTTTCTTTGTTTCTCCTACTTGTTAACCTATCATTTCAGGAAGGACTGGAAGCAGAAGTAAATCTACTGTGGAATTCTGTCTTTATAATTGTGTTTAACTTCAAACTAGAGCTGTCGAACGAAAAAAAAATGAGGGCCATATGCTGTCTTGGTTAGTGAATTAATACAAATTATAGTCCATGATAATCATCGGAATGGTAAAATATTTAGAATGTTTCACTATGCATGTGAAGCAAGATTTTCTTTGCTAAGAAATTATTTTACCAGACATACTTTAAGATCATCTTCCCCTCTCCACAAAATGCTTCTCGGCTATAAATATGAATCACAGCTAAGTCATGTATTGAAGAGCAAAAGGTGGCAACTGAGCAATAGGAAATACACAAAAGGCTTATGAGGCTTAGACAATAAATACAGTAATCTATAGAGAATACAATAAGAACCTATAATACTATGATGACTAAGGGGATAAAATTACAAGAAATGCAGTAGAAGAAAATGAGCCAATAGCACATAATAAGGAAAGAGACAAAAAATGAAATAGTTGGTGATACTCATGGAAAGGAGGTATGGCATGTAGGAATTAACTGATGGTGAACATCAGGAATAAACTAACGAATGTGAAGGAGAACTAGAGATAAAAGTTAAACACAGAAGTTGGTTTGGAATATAAAAGAATCCATATGAAGATAGCAAATAATAACACATTGATCGTTTACATACTGATTCAGGAAACACTAGTAATACTCCGTATTATGAAAGACACACTTTAAAGTCATTTTTCTTGTTTTGAGATAGGGTAATCTCTAACCCAAGTTGACTCCAAACTCATGAGCTTCTTGCCTCAACATCCCAAATGCTGGCATTACAGCAAAAATTCCTAAACTAAATTACCTGAGATACTCTAAGTTTAGGAAGTCCCTTCTAAGTTTAGAAGTTCTTGTTCCTTGTGAATAATTGTAAAATTACAACTACTACTATGTCAGAAATTTTTGAAGTCAAACTATAATAAACATACTAAATACTATTTAGAGATACTGAAATCTATCCTTTTATCCATCCCTTTTTGCATCCTTTTATCATGTAAGACAAATTTAGCCCAGAATAACTGTATCTGTGCTTCTTGCTTGCAATCATATAGCTGATATTTTCTTAATTGGCTCATAAAATACCTATGATTCTTATTTTCATCTATTTTTTGCTACTTCAGTATGCCTAACAGTAAGTGGATAAATGTGGGCATCTACGTTAGGTAAGATTCTTTATGGTGCTGCACAAGATGTAAAATATTAACAAGTTTCAACTTTCCTCTCAAGGAATTTACAATGGCAAGAAGGCTAGAAAATAGTAGATAAACAAGTGTCTAGGCAAAAATGTATAAGGTTCTGTAGGTTGTTCACGGTCCAATAATGATGAGAAAAGAGGTCTTCAAGGAAAAAGTGGGATTTGAAATATATCTTGAAATCTATAATGTACACAAAATGACAAAGAAAATGATAGTATTGAAAGGGAAAATTTGAGAAAGAGGTGAGTCACACTTAGCTACATCATAACTTAAATAAGTATAGTTAAGGTTATAAATATGGGATGAATCAGAACATGCAATGCTAAACTCAGACCGTGAGGAATCACTGTAGGGCTGTAAGTGGTGGTGTCAAATGAGTAATGTTCTGATATAATGAACTTGTGAAGTGGAATGTTTGACATTTCAGCCTATGGCCACTTGGCCCCATTGCTTTCAGACAGTACATGAGGTGGCACCTTCCATCAGAATAAAGCTATGGAAAAATAAAGGTATTCACTTCAGTACTAGGAAGAGAATAAAAAGAGGAAAGGCCAGGAGTCTCATCGACCATTCAAAAAATGCCCCAAAGACCAGAGGACCTCTCCCAAAGACCTCTCCTTTCAAAGTTTCTCTCATTTCCCAATAGAATCAAGCGAGGGACCAAACCTTTCATACATGTTCCTTTGGAGGAACATTTAAGATACAAATTTAGCAATGATACTGGAAAATAGTTAGATTCCAGGAAGTCAGATGACTTTTGGAATAGGCTAAAATTATGAATTATTACAATAGTAGAGGTTAGAGTAGTGTGTTATTGAAACTATGAGATAAGGTCTTGAGAAATAATAAAGCACAAAGAGAGAGAAAGAAAGATGAGAACAAGGAAAAAAGCAAAGAAAAAAGAGGAGAGACTTTAGACTTATATCTCAGATTTGACTTTGATGAAGATTATGACATTGTAGTGATATAATTCTTCAAGTAAAGGCAACCCTGATTTTGGTTTGTGTTATATTAAACTTGGCTTGATTACTAAAATCTATTGTGTAGAGTTTGGGGAAAAGGTTTATGAAAGCATAAAGAGGCAAATTATTGCTCTAATAGTAAACCTGTCATTGATAGATAGCATTGCTCACATGGAAAAATTTCATTTGAAGTAGTATGCTGAGAGACATTTACTCTAAAATATTAGACATAATATAAGCTACAACTTATATTTTAGTAGCTTAAGAACATAGGGGCCCAAACTGTTTTTATAACCCTTTGTTGGTTAAAAATACGATATATTGAGAATACATCTAATATACCTACATATCCTACTGAACAGCATGGCTTAATAAGACAATATAATTCAGAGTGTCAGTCATTCACTTTGTAATTCTGTGACAGACCAGAATTATAGCTAGCCACAACTCTGTAGCTCTCTCAGAAAGAATTAAACCACATATGTTATTAGCCTGTAAACAGATAAAAATTTCAAGTAGGTCTTCAACTGAGTGTGCTTCTTTTTTCATCATCAACACAAAATCTAAATTCAAAGTTAAATCATCATAAGCCTAGGGTAAGCTCTATAACATAATAATGCTGGAATCAATTTGCGATAATGCCTAAAACAAGTGGCAATAAAAATTACCACAGGTGTTCAGAATGTCTCATGCCTATAATCCTAGCTCCTTGGAAAGTTGAGGATCATAATTCAAAGCCAGGCGGGGCAGGAAAGTCTGAGACTCTCATCTCCAATTAAATGGTATAACACTAATCTTTAGTTAAAAACAACAAAAAAAAAGCTCTATCAGGGATAACATCTAGGGCCTGAGTTCAAGCCCCAGAACTGGCACTAAAAAAAAACAAAAAAAGCAAAAATTGCAATGTATTGACAATAAGTTTAATTGATGTTTAGTAATTTGGTAGCAGACAGTGATGTCATTGATGCAAAACTTCAAGGGAATTTATGAGCAAATTGCAAACTATGAATAAGATATAGTTCCAAAATGAAATTTATAAGCAAATTGCAAACTATAAATAAAAATACAGTTCTAATTTTATGAGCACTACATTTGCAACCAAGACAACATGAAAATACTAAATACATATGTATATATAGTATATATATTACTATACAAATCTATTTAAATTACTATATTACTGCTATATAAATTACTGTTATATATTACTACATAAAATTACTATATATATATAGTTATATGTATATATATATATATATATATATATTTCTTTTCCAACAAGTTTAAATTTACTGAGTAACTAGTAAACAGAGTATCACAATAATAATAAATTACCGTTTTGAAAAGATACCTGAAGGCATACTTATTATCTGAAGATTATGAAGGGTATCTTCTCCCTGATGTTCAATAGATACGACTGGTATGTGTCAGAGATATTTAAACATCAATTTTTTCATATTATAATACTGTGTTGGCAAATTGACTCTTTTCCCACACTATTTTACAAAAAAAGGTTTATTAGATTGACTTTTCTGATTTTATGTGTTTTACATATTTTGTGTATGTATCTGCCGATTCTGTGGTTTGAACTCAGGGCCTGGGCAATGTCTGAGCTTTTTTGCTCAAGGCTAGTGCTCTACCACTGGAGCCACTGCTCTGCTTCTGGATTTTTGGTGCTTAACTGGAGGTAAGAGTTTCACAGAATTGCCTGCTTGGGCTGGCTTTGAACTATAGTCTTCAGATCTCAGTCTCCTGAGAAACTAGGATTATAAGCATGAGCCACTGGTGCATGTGTGTGTTTGGTAGCTTTTCATAACCAATGTTTATATCTATCAACTTAGTAAAATTTAAAATTATTAATTTAACAGCTCACACATGACATTATCTATGTTATTTATAAAGTAAGTATTTTAAAGGTATATTTGAGGTATGGAATTGAGCTATGGCTTTTAAATAAATTTATTCTTATGGAAACACAGAGGGTTACAGTTACATAAGTCAGATAATGAGTACATTTATTTTGAACAGTGTCACTTCTTCTCTCCTTTCCTCCAAGTTTTCCCTTCATAAGCCCTTCCCCCACAAGTTGTATTGTTCATTTTCAACATATTATTTAGTGAGTGTCACTGATGTATTTGTTCACCCTTTGTCCCACCATTTCTATGCTCCCTTTTATTCTCCCTAACAGATAAATTTAAACAGATAAACTTAAAAATAAGACAAAAAGTATAGAAATAAAAAACAACAACAAAGGAGGAAAAAATAAACAAGAGGCAAAATAACATAAAACCTTTTGTTTCTAGTTCTTGGAGTTAATTTATATATACATCATTTA